GTAAGCAACTTCGTGCCTGGTCAGTTACCGTTACGGTTTGAGACTATCAAGTGTTTGGATGTGCGGATGGTGTAATGGATAATGTCTCCGAATTGGAAATCGGCGAGCCGTTGTTCGGTTTTTAGTCGGGTTCGTTAAATACTCGTGGGGAAGGTATGAATCCACCTATTCTCTCCACGGTTACAGCGTAGGATTTGCATCGGTAAATCATTATTACCTCCCCCACCAAAATCTTACAATCTAAAATATTTTCTGTCATTACATTATCTGCAAAGGGTTGATAAGCCGTAAAAAATAGATCAGTCAAATCTTATTTGTTAGATTAATTTCTGAAATATAATTTCGTGTGTGAGTTAGACACACTAGTAGAGCATTCATTGCGAATCAGAACAAACTACTTACAATAGCAATTTCGTACGCTAAATTTGCTCATATGACTATTACTATTACAGCGGGCACACTCTTAAAACTTCTCATTATATATATACATACATATATATGTAAGCAAATATCCGATGCTTGCATCAACCAAATCTCATGTCACAACTGTGACTTAAAATATGTGGGTGAAACATGCAGGTCCGTAAAATCTCGTGTTTTCGAATATAAACGAGATATTTGCCTCGGTAATTTAAACAATGCTTTATTTGTACACATAACTAAACCTGATCATAATTTCGATTTTGATTCTGTGAAGATTTTAAAATATTTTCATAATAAAAATCTTAGGCGGATTTATGAAGCAGGCATAATATCTATCTCACGCACGGTGAACACTAGACCTGGCTTCTTTAATATTTCCCCTTTTCTAGCAAGATTAATGCTCGACAAACGTACATAGTTTTAGATTAAAATAAAATTCTTTTTCATTTAAAATATACTCTATTTTAGGAATACGTTTTCGCAACATCGCCCACGTGACGCCGACGTGATCGTATTGCGAAACGGAACGCTGATCTTAAAAATTTCAGTTATTCTGTTTTCATTAGTCTTATGTCTATCGTCTTTTCATGTTGACTTAAATATCGTCTAATGTTAATTATGTTTTAATAACTATGTCCTGAAGAAGATCTACTAGACCGAAACGTCTGACGTCGACATTGAAACAACATTAAAACAGCATACTTGCATATTCGGATTTTTGTTTTTCCATATTTTTCTTCATATATATATATATATATATATATATATATATATGTGTGTGTGTATATATATATATATGTGTGTGTGTGTGTGTGTGTGTGTGTGTGTGTGTGTGTACACTCAACAGATAAATAAATATCACGCCCAATTCGTCAACTCTCTTATTTAGCTGTTTGTATATCCGGAGTTTCTTTATGCCATTTCTAATGAGGAGCTTGTGAAATTTTAATTTGATTCGACTTGGTCAGATATAATTAATACGATTCCCCCCACCCCGTGTGTCTTTATCTACCCTTCCCAGGAGATCTGCGCCTCTCCTCTGTGTGCCTATGGTGACACTCTCGTCCCCACTTGTCTCCGGCGTTTGTGCGTTTCTTGTCGCCGACACTGTGCACGTGAGCCTGTTGAGTGTGGTCGGCCAAACGAAGTCGGTGCTCGCCGAAGTGGGTGGAGAGCAAGTGAGTGAGTCAGTGAGTGAGATAGAGGGGAGAGAGAGAGAGAGTTAACAAACAAAAAAGAACAAAAAACGCAGATACAACGCCCCCTCCCACACTTCTATCCATCGCACCTGCCACTGAAAGTCGTTGGCGGAAGACACGTGTTGTGACTTGGCAGTCCGACCTGCAGACAATGGAATATTTGATTTATGCCCTTTTTCGCAAACATGAACAAACATTGACAAACATAGACACCCTGGGGTGGGGTGTGGTGGGGAAATATAATATGTGAGCAGCCACGAAGTCTTAGAAAAAAATGAAAACAAAAAGAACTCTTACACTTAAAATCAGAAAGAGACAATTCATATTTCTGAGGAAAGAGGACTTAGTAAATTTAACACTCACAGGACATGTTGAAGGCAAGAGGGACAGAGGAAAGTAGAGAATAACCTGTCTAACGATCTTGTGTAAATGGTCAGCAGAACAGGGACTAGGAGAGAGAGAGCTAAAAAATACAGGAAATTGTGGAGAGCCATGAGCTGAAACGCATGATAAATTAAGAGAGATTGAAGAATTTGATACAGGACACAGCGAAGGAAAATTAGACAGGTAGCGGGGTACGTACCTAAAGAGGTTATTTGGATGGATGGTGGGAAGGGGTTGAGAGGATTGGAAAAGCGACAAACGTTGCTAAGATCTTCAAGTGATAGGAAGTTGTAGAGAGCCATAAACATCCACATTCTGAAGAGATAAACATAGAACTAAAGGCACGATCGAGTAATGGATAGCGGAATCGGAATGAGGAATCGGAAGCCGAGTTCGAAATCAATTTTACGTGCTTGGGAAAGGTATGTATACTCTTCTCCCCCCCAACTATGGTTAAATAGCAGGACAAACCTTGGATGGTAACCGCAGAAAGAAATGGCAACCTACTGCGGGGAAAAAATCGAAAGATACATGTTCGACTAACGCATAGCACATAACTGAATGAATGAGGACTGAAGAATCGGAGGGCCGAGTTCGAATTCTTATCGAATCCATTACATTCACTTACGTGCTAATACCCTGAGGAAAGGTATGAATCCTCTCCCCTCCCAGCTATTGCAGAAAAGACTGGTTTCTATAACCTTTGATGGTAACTGGTTTACCGCAAAACGAAATGATAACTTACCGCGGGAAAAAAATCTGCCTCGTCAGTCATGTATCTTTCGATACATGATCGCCTAAGCGTGTATCACGCATGGCACATAACTGACTGACTGACGTGCTAATATCCTTGGGAAAGGTACGAATCATCTTCTTCTAACACCCCCCACCCAGCTATGGGTAAACGGTTCTACAGCCTTGGATGGCAACTGGTCTACCGCAGAAAGAAATGGCAACCTACTGCACGAAAAAATCTGCTTCGTCAGTCATGTATCTTTCGAGACATGATCGCCTAAGCGTGTATCACGTATGGCACATAACTGACTGACTGACGTGCTAATACCCTTGGGAAAGGTACGAGTCATCTTCTCCTTCCCCCAGTTATGGGTAAACGATTCTATAGCCTTGGATGGCAACTGGTCTACCGCAGAAAGAAATAGCAACCTACTGCAGGAAAAAAAATCTGCCTCGTCAGTCATGTATCGAAAGATACATGATCGTCTAAGTGTGTATCACGCATGGCACATCATTGAGTGATATTCTAAATGTCATCATCTGAACTGGTGGGAGAAAGAAATATAGCTATTGGATAGGTAGTTATGGAGAGCTGTGATCGTCCATGTCCTAAAGAGACAAGGCACATGGAAGAAGAAAATGAAGAAGATATCCTCTTTGGGAGTTAACACAAACCCGTAATCTCACATGCATACGATGCGGCAGATGATGAAGACTAGCCCGCGATAAATTATTCCACCTCCTCTGCTGATAATTTACAGTAATTTTTGAACGAGTTAATTGTCCTATACATATTCAACAGGTGAAAAGTCTGGCGCTCATGTAAACCATGGAAGTTGTCGAACATATTGCAGAGCAAATTGATTAGTATCGCTGTCTTGTGGGCGAGCATTATAAAACTGTCACAGAATTATAATGCTTCTTTCTTCAGTTACCATTCCTGCAACAGAACGTGCTTAAACAATGTCTTGAATCTACAGGGTGCTGTTTAAATCGAGCGATTGTCTCTGATACTCACGTGGCAGCTTGAGGGAAAGCGATAAGAACAGCGGGTAACATAATTGATGGGCTTGAGTGAATGGATGGCGGAACAGGAGAAATAACGAAAAAGACAACATTTATTAAGAATTAAAAAAGACAGGAAATTGTGGAGAGCCATGATCACCTACGTCCTGGGGGGGGACACTTCGTATAAAGAAGAATAACCTTGCATCCTGATATCAGGGACTGGGCTTTAATTGATTGATTTGTTTATTACAACTTCTTAAACATTTGCAGGTTATTGGAAAATCACTATATATATATATATATATATATATATATAGAGAGAGAGAGAGAGAGAGAGAGAGAAAGAGAGAATGGGTGAGTTTGTTTATGCATCTATTAGCATGAGAAAATGTGTGCATGTGTGTACGCGTATTTCTTCCAGAGGACGAGTTCGTGTGTGTGTGTGTGACAGTGAGAGTGTCCATGACAAATTTGCATGTTTATGTGTCTATAAGAAAAACAGAAATATGTTTTTACACGGTAAGAAGTTTTTGGAGATAGTAATTAGTTGTAGATATAGAGTCCTACTGTTTAATCCATAGCTGGGAGGAGATGAGAAAAAGTCTCGGGTATAAATAATGAATATTAAGTGATTTGCAATAACACTTTTTTTGGTGATAATAATTATTTACAGATATCAGTTCTAATATTTAACCCAAAGCTGGGAGGCAGATGCGAACAATCCCCATGTAGAAATGATGAATATTAAGTAATATTGCAGTAAAAACATTTTGGAAATAATAATAATTTGTAGGTTTAAGCTCTACTATTTTACCCATAGCTGGGCAGCAGATAAGAAAAATCATCATGTAGAAATGATGAATATTAAGTAATATTGCAATAAAATTTTTTTTAGAGATAATAACAATTTTCAGATTTAAGCCCTACTATTTAGCCCATAGGTGGGGGAGATGAGAAAAATGTCTCGTGCATAAATGATGAATATTAAGAAATATTGAAATAACAATTTTTTGGAGATAATAATTATTTACTGATATCAGTTCTACTATTTAACCCACAGATGGCGCTCATTTCGTTTCCTAATCAAAAGGCTCTGATCAAAAGGATTATTTCTGCATTTCAACGACATGATATCTGCTTACACTGGAGTTTTTCCCCACACGGCACCGCTTAAAACTCAAACACATGTCGTGCTTAGGTATGAGTGTTATTGCATGATACCCAAAGACGGAAAATCTACTATTTCCTAGAATGCACGTACGGTCCTTTTCCTACCATCCTTTCTTTCTTTCTTTCTTTCTTTCTTTCTTTCTTTCTTTCTTTCTTTCTTTACTTCCTTGTTTCCTTTCCTTCCTTCCTTCCTTCCTTCCTTCCTTTCTTTTTTTTCTTCCTTTCTTCTTTCCTTCCTTCCTTCCTTCATTGTTTCCTTTCTTTCTTTCTTTCTTTCTTTCTTTTCTTTCTTTCTTTCTTTCTTTCTTTTCTTTCTTTACTTCCTTGTTTCTTTTCCTTCCTTCCTTCCTTTTTTTCTTCCTTTCTTCTTTCCTTCCTTCCTTCCTTGTTTCCTTTCTTTCTTTCTTTCTTTCTTTCTTTCTTTTCTTTTTTTTCTTCTTTCCTTCCTTCCTTCCTTCCTTCCTTCCTTCCTTCCTTCCTTCCTTCCTTCCTTCCTTTCTTTCTTTCTTTCTTTCTTTCTTTCCTTTCCTCTTTCTTTCTTTCTTTCTTTCTTTCTTTCTTTTTTCCATTTCTTTCTTTCTTTCTTTCTTTCTTTCTTTCTTTCTTTCTTTCTTTCTTTCTTTCTTTCTTTCTTTCTTTCTTTCTTTCCTTTCCTTTCCTTTCCTTTCCTTCCTTCCTTCCTTCCTTCCTTCCTTCGGTGACATGCGTGTTTCACGCTTGGGCGACCATGTCTCTTTCGGTTCATGATTGACTTGGCAAAAGTTTCTTTCTGCAGTAGATTGGTTGCCAACCAAGGCTATAGGACCCAGTCTGTTCTGCTATTTGATCCATAGCTAGTGGGGGAAAGAGATGTATTCATATCTTTCCCAAGGTTATTTGCGCGTAAATGAATGTAACGAACACAATCGGAATTCGAACCCTGCTCTTCCATTTTCCCATTCCGAGCTGTTACTCCTCACGTCGGTCGCACATCCAAGCATACACCACCGGCTATTGCCAAGTTAATACCCATCTAGGTACTGACCAGGCTGAAAGTTACTTAACTTCGGTGATCGGACGAGAACAGGCGTTTCAATGTGATATGGCCGGAACGTACTGCACCCACATAAAAATCAGCATTATCCTTCAGGATGTTAAAATTTTGTTTTTCTTCAGTGTGATATATATATATATATATATATATATATATATATATATATATATATATATATATATTATTGTGTGTGTGTGTATTTAGGCAGCATTTTTTCAGTGGTGCATGTTTCATTAAATAATATAGATAAGTTTTGTCTATTTATTTTAAGTAAATTCCTTTCGTATTGCCTGATAAGCTTAATAACATTATCATTGATAGATGAAAGAAAATCATCAATACATTGATACATGTTTTTTAATCCTATCTAATCTTTCGGCTTACATAAGCCATTATCAAAGATGACAGTTACATTACAATATATTAAACAACACACGGACAAAACAATTATTATCTGTTTTTGTTGCATGAAAGATTTCAAAGCAAAGACAAACTAGTGACGTCATACATGCCCACGCGAGAGTGAAAACGAGAAGTGTTAAGTATGGGAAGCCGTTAATATAAACCAAAGGCTACTGTTATCAATTATAGGCATTTAAGAATATTTGTGGAGATTTCGTAGTTTATTTTGTTCAGGTTAAGTTTCAACTGTTTTATGTATATAGCTTCAAGAATTTTTAGTTTTTGTTTATTGTTTTCATGTTTAAGTATAGTTGTGTTTTCAACAAGGATTTTCCGGAATTGCGTGTGCGGCCAGGCATGTTGTTTTAAATGCCTAAAAATGTTAGGGTCATCATTCAAATGTAGAGTCAAGCGTCGCGAAAGCGAATTTGTGGTGTGACCAACATATATATGTATATATTGGCAACATATTTTCATTCAAGCGTGTTAAATAATTCAGACGTATTATGTCTTTTTATTTTAGTTTTAATCATTTCAAGTCCACGAATTTATTTCTTGGTAGCTGTAAAAAATTGATCAAGAAAAATTCCAAAAATTTCTTTCAAAAAATTGTTATTTTCCCAAATACTTTCAATCTCATGTGAGACCATCTCCAGCAGTTGCAGACCTATGGATGTGTTATGTGTTGACGCTGTATATTCAAAATATGCAAGGGAGGTAACTTATGAGATTTTTTTTTAAAAAGATTTTTTAATTGAATATTTTTTATATAAAATTTTACTGCTACAGAAAAATTTAAGAGCATTGCTGCTATACTCGTAGTTGACTTTATTTTTGGCTGCAATTCTCTAATATAAAATAAAATAAATTTAATTATTTATATATAAAGGACTTCCATAATTTAAAATTTTTGCTTACTATTATCTTCATGAAGCACTGATGTACTTTCGACTAATGTCTGTCTAAACTATGTATGTGGGTATGAGTGTTTCTTTAAATGTTTTTTTGAGTTTGAAAACCTGAATTAGGAGGACGATTCTGCGTAGAAATTTGATTTCGTCGAAAACATGCACTTTGACCCATGTAGCAGCGACGAGGTTGGAATATATATATATATATATATATATATATATATATATATATATATTTACTTAGTGGTATTGATGTGAGCTTGTGACCCTGGGTTTCACGCCCTTGCGATAGTCAGACAACCCAGGGTCGGAAACTCACATCAATACAATTAAGTATGTTAGCTCTATCACTGATATTGAGCGCTTTCCAATAAGTTTCGCGCATATATAAGATATAAATACATATATCTATAAAAGGCAGGATGTGTGTATGTAACGAATGCACGGCCGCAATCTTCGACGGATTTGCACCAAAATTTACATGCACATGCTCCAAGTTAGCGGGAAGTCCAAGACCGACTTTGCATTTTCCAACTCCCATCGATAGTGGAAATAATTTTTTTCATGCTTCTACGGCAGTTTTCATGTAGTTTGCGGCCATTTTCTACTGGCCAGAGTGAGAGCCAATAGCTGGCTGCCGCGAATAGGCAGGTAGATTCTATTGGCCAGCGTGAGAGCCAACAGCTCACTGACACGAATGTTAACTAGCATGCAAAAAAATCGATAACTGCATTCGTCACAAGTGGGAAAAAGTTAAATCTGCATGGCAATTGGGTCACTCGCTTGCTTAAACTCGACGTTGATTCTGATTCCGCAGAAGTGGGTTGTGTGTGAAAAAGTATTTGTTGTTAACATTCTTTTTTCATTCGGTTTTTCCAATTACGAGTCCTTTTTTAAAGCTGATCGTTTTGTGTTCATTTTGTTTAGTTCTTTTTTCGTAACAGATTTAATGTTTAGTGTAGAGCTTATCAAAAATTCGCAGTGTGAGATAGGCAAGAAGTAAGGCATGTAGCAACATCAGCACGGCAAAGGGCATTCCTTTAAAGTCAAGGAAGGGCAAAAATATTTTAAGTCAAGTGATAGCGATTGCTGTATGAGTCGTACGATTTTTGAATCAAGCACGGGCAACGCCGGGCCATGCTGCTAGTATATATATATATATATATATATATATATATATATTCTACTCATACGTTATTTTTATGGATACACTTATTTGACTACATGGTCTGTTCTTTAATTAAATTTAATCATATATATATATATATATATATATATATATATATATATTAATGGTGTCAACCTTTTCAATGTTTCGTTGAATAAGTCATACAAGGAAAATTTAATTAATTGTTGATTTTTTTTATTTAGTTTTTCCAGAGTTCTTACATTTTCCTGTTTGCTGGGAGTAAGGGAGTGAAAAAATTATGCATATTGTCCGTTGTGCCATGCGCTTTCGGCCACTCCTTTAGCCTTTTTCAACACACGAAGCTCGGAATAAACGCTCTTACTAGTATTCAAAACAAAACAAAAAAATCAAAATCTTGAAAATGGCTAAAGGAGTGGCCGAAAGCGCTTGCTCTCCTTTACTCCAACCGAAGGGGGAAAAAAAATTAAAGAATGCTGGAAAAGGTAACTAAAAAATTAATTAATTTTTTAAATGTTTGTCACATTCAACAACAGGTCGGCTGCTACGCAAAGTTATAAACAACGTATTGAACTAATTCCGTCGGAGCTCAACCCATTAATTAAAGACTTCGGACACACACATACACTATATATATATAGTGAACATTGAAGTTCAGCATTTCGACAGGCTGTTTTATGCTGGACGCAATCGTTAGGCCGCTTGATGATTGCGTCCAGCATGAAACAGCCTGTCGCCTCTGAGTGTTGACTTCAATGTTCACTTTATATATATATATATATATATATATATATATATATATATATATATACATACGTTCTATCTCTGATATTGAGCACTTTATCCCATAAATATTGCACTCGTTAAAACTATATTTCTTCATATATATATATATATATATATATATATATATATAAAATTAATTTACTCTAAGCAAGTCGATAATGTCACTGAGCGAAAGTGAATATAACGATCTTTACTGGAATTCGAACTCCCTTCGCCGATTTCCCCTTTCCGAGCGTCTAACGATTACACCACCTGCACATCCATATGTCAAACATAGAAAACGAAAACAAGACAGCACGATAAAGCAACAATTAATGGCTGTTTCGAGTCATAGTTTACTATAAAAGGCGACTGCAGGAGAGCATTATACTGCGCCTTTTTGGCCGCAAGTTTTCCACTGACTTGAAGTGAAACGACCATATTGAATCAATAGCTGTATCTACTGCAAGGAAAGTTGGGTCACTGTGACGTGCCAGAAGATCTTTCTCGTCAGAATTCTTCTACATTTATAAATCTACCATTCGTCCGTGCTTCGAATAATTCTGCCATATCTGGTCTGGTGTTCTTGCTATGCATCATGAGATTATTGACAAAATCCAAAGAAGGAACTGTAAAGTAATCAATCTTGACCAGGCATCCTCACCAGTCACTTTCTCACCGACGTGGCGTGGCTTGATTCTGTCTTTTCTACAAATATTTTCATGGGAAATGCTCTGACAAGGTTTTTTTCTCTGGTGCCCCGTCTACATGGATTTAAGCGTGCTATTAAATTGACATCTAGGTCCCACCCGCTTACTGTTGAAATAGCTAAATGCTACTTCTACCCCAACAGTTTCTTTCCCCGCATTTCCCGCCTGTGGAACTCCCTTCCTGCTTACTTGCTTCACTGATAACTAGAATCTTCAAAATCTCAAATGCAACGTCAATCGCCATCTTGTGTCTTCTTGAATCCCGTTCATCTTTTGTCCTTTCCTCAATCCGCCCTATTCTCAATCTTCTCTTTCACTTTCATTCTTTGTAACCTCCTGCTTACTAGTGGCATTACCGCCTTGCTTGGGGTGAAATGATAATAAAAAAAAAAAAAAAAAAAAAACGGAGCCTGGGATTGTGAAATCTTGAACTGGGTTAGGTAGATTAAAACCAATTTCCGGCAGGAACATGACATCTGGTTTCACCTCGTGATGGTGATCAAATTGATCGTCGAAACTTAACAATTGTGTAGGAGATGCTGAACTTGGGATCTACTTTCGTGCTTGTGGGGCTGAGTTTGTATCTTTCATTTGCTTTGTTGTTCTTCTTGTGGACATGGTTTAATATAGAGATTTTAGAACAGATTAAAACTAAGAATCGTAGCAGCCACAACCCAAAGGAGAAAGAGCAACATTTAGCTGGATTACATAGTCCAGAATTATCGACCGGTTCATACTCCTCCCGTTCTTTTGAACAGGAGTAGATCTTTATTTCTAGTTTCCTGTTTAGGATTGGGTTTATAGTTCCTTCTAAATCATTGGCAGTATTTATAGCCAGTATATTTTTTTTATGGGAATGTTCACCCAATACAAGGCCCAAGAGCCACCCAAGGTAGAGGATTACTCTGTAGTGTTGTACGAGTCTATGGTATTCTCAGCATCCTTCTGCAGAACAACATTTCTGTTGCTTCAAGTCTCTTCTTCATCTGCGAGGAGATTGTCCAGCATTCACTGGCATATAGGAAGATCGATATCACATAACATTTCAGTACCCTTCTCTTTGTTTCTAATGATATTTTTATTATGTTTCTTAATGCTTTGCTTAGCTTTTGGAAGGCATA